TGAAAGCACAGATCCAACCATGGGATTCAATCGTATGACCCAGCAAGAGGCCTATATCAATTCTCTTTCCAGCTCTTCACAAGGTGTTCTCCGTATGGGTCTCTGGAGGAATTCAAGCTGAAAGTGGGTGTTTGCATGGCAGACCAATACCAACATGATTCAAGGATATGCAGGAATATTCTGACTTTTGAAGTTTTCATTTCAAATTACAGCAGCGCTGCGGAAGTTTCTAAATATATATTGGGTCTCCCATTTCAGGTTCCAATCGAATTGTCTCGCCGGAGTTTTCATCGAGCATCCGACAGGTTTTGTGGTGGCTTTGAGAAGCGCCATCGGTTGTGGTCTATTCCTGATTGGGCAGAGGCCAAGGAGCTTAAGCGACTCTGCATTCTGATTGGTTGCAAGGCCATGCTAGAGTCAAGCCATTAGATCAAATCAAGTCTAGCTTTCCCCCCACCCCCACAGTTGAACTACATTATTAAGTACATGCAATACAAAAAGAGCGGGAAGATACCTCCAGTCTGCCGCCTTGCCTCCACGTGATGTGGAAGTTTGACATGCGGCTGAGATCCCAAGGTTCCCCCGCCCCGCGGCGGTCCCAAAGAGGAAAGGCGTGTTCGAGGCTAATTTGACGCTGTGTCTTCGTCGTGTTTCTCGCTTTTGACTGCTTCATCAGTTTCAGCCCAAGACTTGCAAACTCAGTCCTTACATGAATGGCACGATTTCGCAGCGTGGTGGTGTTACCGCGATTATTGCTAGATCTTTGTGACCTGTGGCGCAGTGTGATGGCTTTGAATGCATTTTCACACTCTGAACATGGTGGTAACTGGTGAGAGGGAGGTTGTTGAAATTCGATGGCAGCAGCCGGATCGCATGATGAACAATTAGGGAGAGGTAACTACTAACCGGCAATGAATGGTCTATGGGCAAAATTAATCCGGTATTGTTAATTACGAACTCAAACCGGTGCGTGTCTGGCCTGCGGGTCGTGTCGTGTCGCTCAGAGAGGGACAATTGACAAACTTCCATCCTGCTCACTGACTTCTTTTGTCATATCGTGTTTGGAGCACCAGGCGTCTTTACTTTGTCTACCATTTACGGAGTACAAAGTAACCAGTTAGTTAACCAGTTACTTCCTCTATGATTCATGCGACTGGCTTGCCCTTTCCCGCCAGAAATGGAATTTTCTTTCTGGCATGTCAACAAATTCTCCTCAGACCTGACACATGGAACCCAAAAGAGTCTAAGGATGGCTCAGACCCTTGCCATAATTTAGCCACAATGCTCTAGAGTGCCTAGCAGGTCAAGGGTTAGCGTCTGCCGAGGGGAACGATCGAAGGACTCTCGCCGTCATTGGCACCAGCCTCGTGTTTGTTTCCACTTCGCTCCACTGTGCTGGCACTCAATCAACACTCAAACTGACCAAGCCATTGCCGACATTGTTTGAGGCTTGGAAATATGGGCTAGGAACGACCATTTCCCCATTTATTTTGTTTTTTCTGGTGTCTTTCTCTTCTAAACTCTCATCTATTCCCCCATTTCCTCTTCTCAATTTTTTTTCTTTGCTCTGTCTCATTTGTTATTCATCCAACCTTTTTCTGCCTGAGCCACGAAAGCTGTGACGAGGATTGCTACTATTTTGCTCCTTAAGCACGGAGTAGAATTTATATATTTTATTTGATCAAACTCGATCGTTCTGGCTCATTTTTTGCCGTTTTCGCTCGTTTTTTATTATACAGTAGTTGAATTGGCTCCATTTTGCTTCTCATTGAACGAAAAGAACATCCGCGACCATCACTGTACAGTCAGCATTGAGCAACAGCATAGGCCGTGTCTGGTTCGGTACAATGGTTCGCTTGAACTTGGTTGCGGCCCTGCTCTCCCTAGGGGGAGCAGATGCCTTGTCAGATCGCCTTCTTCCTCGAGAAACTGTTCAACTAATGGCTGATGTTTTCGGCATGTCTCCTCTCCCTACTGACCCTCCTGGAGTTCCCCGTGGAGTTCCAAAGGAATTGGCGGCTCGAGCAGTGCGGACAGCGATTGATTATCCGGCTCCTGGATACTATTGCGGTCTGGTAAACGGTGATATTAGTTAGTCTACCAAGCGACGTATTGCACAACAAAAATATGGGGAAAGATTTAAAAAGAAAACTCGTTTTAGTGTGATATTTGGGTACTGACTTTTGATGCTGCTACTAGATAACCTGTTGACTTGTGCGTTTGCTGGTGCCAACTGCGTACAATACGGTACAGCTGTGGGCTGTTGTGCAAGTTCAAATGCTCAACAATGTACCGACATAGCGACTAAGTGTTTGAATTGGGAAGACAAATGCGACGAGGCATGCTCAAAAGATCCTAGAATTATTCGATGTGCAGAAACGACACTGCCTTTTTGTGGAACATACTTCTTTGGTGATGGCAAACAACTCTTGGGGTGCAGAGCATCCGTAGGTGTGTCGTCACAGGTTGTTCTGTTATCAGAGTACTTTTCCTCCCGTTATGGGCCAAACTACCAGACTCTAGCGGGTACATCATCAGTTCTGTCGATGTCTATCTCTCCTGGCACCGCAACCGAAACTGCAGAGCCGACGGCTACCCGCAACTCGCCTTCAAATCCCCAGAATTCTGGTGACATTGTTGGTGACGAGGATGATGGCGATGGGGGAAAGGGTAAAAAGAAGCTTGGAGGGGGTGCAATTGGTGGAATTGTTGCCGGAGCTGTTGTTGGTATCATTGCTATCGCTGCGATCATCGTATTCTTCTATCGTAAAGGCAAGAAGAACGGTAGTACTCAGGGTCTATCACCAACTGCACCGTTGATGCAAGAACAACAATACGGCCAACCAGCACCTGTAGTTGGAGCGGGGTATTTTGCACCCGAACAAAAGGCCCCGCCATACAGCCCCGGCTACGCTCCTCAGGTCCAACAACCCCCGCCAGGGCCGTCCGAAATGGCAGGCTCGCCGATTCAAAACCCCCTACAGGCGCAATCGCAACCTCTTCTAGGTGCACCAACCGAATACTATAGCCAAAGCAGAGGAAACTCATATATACAGCCCGGAAGCCCGCCGACAAACTCTACTAGTCCTCAGCTGGGTACCTCTCAGCCAGTAAGCCTGCACCGGCTGAGTGCGACGCACAATGGACCCGTGCCGGAGGATATCTATGAAATGCCTGCCGCTGACAGAAGGCGGTGATCGATAAATCGCAATACGATATAATACTATGTCTTCTTCTCCTTTCTTTCTTTCTTTCTTTTTTATTCTTCTTCTTTTTTATTATTTTTTTTATACATTGATTGGCTTGTGTCAGCTTGGTTTGGACTCGATTGCTGTTTAAATATTTTGCCTTGCATATAATTTTTGTCATTGTCGATTCATACCCCCATTTGCCCGTATCTTTTTAAGTCAACCTATTTTTTTTGCACCTGGATGATCATGGCTAAGGTCCCAACGCCCCTCTTCCCCTCTTCCCCTCTTCCCCTCTTCATCGCTTTCTTGGAATTTTGGAAGCATACCCCCTTTCTCTTGTTTATTTGACTGGAAAGCGGAGATGATTTTGCTTGAATTGTCACATCATAGCCAGAAGCCGCGAAGTCTAGTGAAACTAGTCTTGTTGAATCTTGCGAACTACCCGGTGTGATTTGACAGGTGCCCGATACGTCGTCCTCCAGCCCGGATATTGAAGGCATTGAAAATTAAAAGTGTTACGTGAATTATGTACTCCAGGGCAAGTTTCCAAACAGACCCATCATGTCCCTCCAGTCACACGCCCCCCGTTTCGTCCCACAGCGCACGAGGAGTGCCTACCGATTTCCAAGGATACATGCGAAACGGTACACAGAGCTTTAACAGGCGTATGAATTCTACATCTGCTTCCTGCCTTTACTTATCGCCTTCAGTTAAATCTAACGTCTTACATTCCACTACTCTTCTTTGTTTTACCACTTCTTAATTTGTCAATGCTCATTCGCGCCTTTTGTTCTCATATATTTGATTAACCACCTGTCAACATTTTATTTGTTTGTTTCACATGTTTTTTCTCTCTTTTGCTTTTGCAAGCCTCATGCATTTGTGAAGAATACCATCATCATATATCTATGGTAGTTATCTTCTCATTTTCTATACATGCAAGTTCAATGTTTGCATGTTTTCACTCACAGTTTGTATATCCATCTTTATTGGTAGTGATTTTCAGCTTTCATTTTGAACTTTGATCAGTTCTGTGTGTACTTCATATTAAGCTCAAGTGTTCCAGGGTATGGTTTTTAGACATTGACTGTGATTTCCTTGACCCAAGATACTTTGTTCATTATCATTATCTACAAATGATCAATATTTTCCATGAATCTGACAAGACGATTAAACTGCTTGTCGATGGCTGTTGGAGATATATTTTTATAGATCGAAGTCTCAAAATTCAAATCACATATTCTCAAACCAAATCAAGGCGAACACACTCCCACAGCATGAATGAAGGGTTAATCATTTATCTTTGTATCTTCACTTGATTTTCTATTTTAATATTCACATGAAAATGCAGAGGCCACGTGGAACAGCAGGTGACTCTGTAGAGAAAAAAGGAGAGAGACAAAAATATTATATAAAGATAAAGTTCAAAAAAAGGTCAAAAACAGGGAAGATATCAGAAAGGAAGAAATTATTGCCAAAATAGGACAAAGGCCAATCGCTACATGCGTATATGTAGTTGGAGATATCAAGAACTCAATAATGAGCAAGACAAAGGAATTGGAATATTGAAGATTGGAACAGAAGGGTATGAAATGAGTAAGGGTGCTCAGAGAGAAATGGAGGGTTTGACTCTTACCAAAGGAACTCCAGAGGTGGACTTTAAAAATGGGGTTCAATTTTGAGTCGAAGGATGAACAAAAGTGTTAGGATAGGAGTATGGGTATAATGTGGCAAAGGAGAATCTATTTAAGTGAATTATACTTACGCCAACGACGTGAGTTGGGCTGACAAGGTTGCTTTATCGTATTTGACATATTTCCCCTTCCCCTTGTCGATTTCATGATACCGGTCCCAGAATCGAGAATACAACGGTTCGATAACGGCCTGGACCTCCCTCGCCAACAAAGTACGCACTTCCTTTTCCATGTTTAGCGATTTATGTCGAATAATCAGCTCCTCGAAGGAGGAGTTGAACGCCTTGAATTTATCTTTTATATTATCTTTATCCTTGGACGAGAGGGATTTGACAATGGCCCCGGAGTCAACCTGGCCTCCAGATGTGGGTCGTGTACCACCCCGATTGGTATATTGGACGTCGAGGAGGTGGGAGGATGGATCTCGCCAGGCGTCGAGGTATGTTGATACACACTTCTTGCGCCATATGTCTAGACGGGCTGTATTTTCTGGAGTAGAGAGGTAGTGAGAGAGTTCACTGCTATTGCGGATTGAACGGTCAACCACGCACATAACATTTGCGAGAAAGGCCCCGAGGATGGGTTTGGGACGGTGGAATACCCTTGCGCGGGCTTCAAGGGCGGAGAGGAGGGTTTCGATCATGTCAAGGATGAAATGGGAGAGCAGGGTGAAACTGTCTGGGCTGACGTCTAGTGGGGTGATTTTGAATTTGCTGGAGGGTTTCCAATTCCCGTCGCCTAATGATGTGAGGATTGAGGCAAGGGGTTTTGAGTATGCTGTTAGGGTAGAGAGAGAACTCATGACTTCGGCCACTAGAGGGATCGAAGCCCCGTCCGGGGGTAAAACGGCCACGGAAGAAGCTTTGCGACGTGTTTCCTCTAGCAGTTCGGATAGCGCTGACTTTGCCGTTTCCCGAATCGGCCGCATAGCTTCAAAAAAGAGAGGTTTCAATTGCCCAGTGGCCGCATCGAGTCGATATGATAGTCCAGTGACGATCTCGATGATTTCAAAGCCGAGAAAACAATCTGTCATAAGATTGGATTTGATATACATATTGAGTTCCCGTTGAGTTTTCGAAAAATCTGCGATCGCAGGCCGACAAGTCGCTTGAAGCGCCATTCCTTGCTCTTCAGGCGGGAATATTTGGGAAATATTTTCGTGCTCCGCAAGTAACATACCCTCAATACCACTAGCGTACATTCCAATACCGTTAGTCCCTTGTCGATAGGGGCCATCGGTTGGTCTCCGTTTGGCTGTGTTGATGGAAGCAGTGGCGAAATTTTGCAAACTAGAAGTGATATATGGCCCGCGAATATCGGCGTAAATCCTGATAGCGGGATTTTCAGTTTGACCGACCTGGGGGCCATGGTTTGCAGCCGAGCTGATCGCAGCGCAGACTGGTGAGAGTTCCAAAATATGCTCGCTTGGAATAGTGGGAAATGGTAGTTCTATAAAATTGTTGAATATCATTCGACTTGCATGGGATAATGGATAGGTACCTACGTTTTGTTATGTAATGCAATGGCTCTATTGTAGCAACGCTCTCTCGTAGGGTCGCTCTGAACATTTCCTGAAGTTTGCTGCTTCCCGTACTAAGCAAAGCGTTAAATTCAGACACTGCTTTCTGGTTTGAGCGAAGGTTGGTAGAGTTTAGATCTGATAGTGCACGATCCACTCGTTTCAGAGCACCCAGATACTGAGACAACCCAGCACTCCGAGGACTAAAATCCGTTAGCATTGCCAGATTATGAGAGAGGTAGAGATAGAGATATACAGAGCGAGAGATGAGGAGTTGAATAAAGTCACCATACCCTGCGCGGATGATCGACTCCTCCTTTCCTTTGACATCTAGGGGTTGACGGAGTCGATCAATGGCTTCATTAACTTTATCGATGTTGGTATTCGTGACTTGCAACAATTGCGTGTTACTGTAGATTGGCCCAATCGCATCTTTTACGACCTTCCCACTGGTTTCAAGCCGAGCCAGGGAGCCTTGGATTTTCTTGGTTAGGGTGTTGAGCTTCTCCAGATTTGCATACAGAACCTCCACCTCCGCACTCTCCTCCGCATGGACCAGATTCCGCATTCCGGCCATAGCTCCAGTGGCATAGTCCGATCTCAACCGGGCTCAGGGTAAATGCCCCTGGTATGGGAGCTGGAGACAGCAATTTCGGGCCTCCTGTCTCATTCCAACACAAATATTCGAAAAGAAATGTTCAATCCATGACGACTGGAAGAATGAAGGATCGTGAGTATACTTGTATATCCAGAGAATACTTCAAACAACCTCTCTCCGTCCAGCTTAAAGGTGGATGTTGTTTGGTCGTGGATGCAGATGAACGATGTTTTAGGAGCATAATGGAGTTAGTTCGGATGCAGTTAGTTGAGGAAGAATATTTATCCGATAGTTTCATCCAGAATCACGTGCATGACATCATAGCTACCCAGGCCTTAGATTCGCCAATTTTACACCAAATTTCCAACATTGCGCCAGATTGAAGTTTCATGAACAACACAGGAGGACATTGGAGGCCGGTGGTGTCCCAATTGCAATGGGCACTGCCAGAGCTATTTTCGCAAAATGGAGACTCCCGATGACATATACTGCTCTTTTAAGCGCGGGCGCTTCATACTATCTCTCCCCCGAAACCCAAACTATCAAAACTGATTCGGATCGGAACTGTGCCTTCTGGGAGAGGATGAACCGTAATGCCGGCGGGATTCCACCTGAGTTGAAGAGACCAGGAAGGAATTCATCTAAATTTCAGGACATTAGCCAGAACGAACTGCGATCTGTTCTAGCGGATTTAGCAAACAAATCATCCCGCGACCTGCCAGTCGAGCTTCCAACCTCGCAATCTTCATGGGACACAGTTACTTCGAAAATCACCCTTGTCAAAGACTCTGTTAGGTCTGTCGATTTATCAGAGTTAATTAGGCAATATATCGTCCCAGCATGGGCTGTTGTGCTTCCGGAGAAGCTCCAAACTCTTCAACGTGAATTATCAATGGCAAAAGGCTCATTGGCCGATGAAATCTGGTCAGAGGCTCACAATGCCGTGTTAAACCCCGAAATAACCCGGGAAGCCCATGTTCGCATTGGCGATGATCTCTGTCGCGAAGAGAGGTATTTCCAATGGAGACGTCGCCAAGTAGTTGTCAAATCTCTTGCGGCGTATCTTGGCTTGAACGAAGACGATATACATCCCGACGATGTACCTGTGATCGCAATATGCAGCTCCGGTGGTGGACTACGTGCTGTAGTCGCCGGGGCCGGCTCCTATCTGGCCACAAAACAGGCTGGGCTTTGGGATTGTGCCATGTATACCGCCGGTGTTAGCGGGAGCTGCTGGCTACAGACGATCTATAATTCGTCGCTCGGAGGACAAGATTTTGTGAAAGTCGTGCAACATTTGAAGAACAGACTTGGAATTCACTTCGCCTTCCCTCCAGAAGTGCTTAGACAGCTGACCTCTCCTCCAACCAATAAATATTTGTTGAGAGGCTTGGTGGAAAATTTGAAGGCTAATTCCGACACTGATTTTCGATTGGTTGACATCTACGGTCTCCTTTTGACGGCCAGACTTTTAGTTCCGGCACGGCAGCCATTGAACTTGTACGACTCCGACCTTAAGCTCTCAAACCAGAGAGCTTTCGTCGATAATGGTGCTAATCCTTTACCCATATATACCGCGGTTCGTCATGAAATACCACCAGACGATACAACTGCGCCAGATCCCTCTATGCAGATTATAGCGGATGGACAGAAACCAGAGCCAAAAAAAGAAACTTGGTTTGAGTGGTTCGAATTTACCCCGTACGAAATGTTTTGCGAAGAGTTTTCCGCAGGGATACCCATGTGGGCGTTAGGAAGAAAATTTTCGGATGGTAAAGACATTCCCTTTTCAGAAGATTACTCTGTCCCTGAATTACGAGTTTCAATGCTCATGGGGATCTGGGGAAGTGCATTCTGTGCAACTCTCGCCCATTACTACAAAGAAGTAAGGCCAGTTTTACGGGGACTCGCAGGATTCAGTGGTATCGATGCTATCCTAGAGGGGAAGAGTGAAGAGCTTATTCGTGTTCACCCTTTTGATCCTGCATCAATACCGAATTTCGTCCTTGGATTGCAAGATCGACTTCCAAAGACATGCCCAAAGTCGGTTTTTAAAGATGAAGAACTCCGTCTTATGGATGCCGGAATGAACAATAATCTCCCTATTTATCCTCTTCTTCGTCCCGGCCGTCATGTAGATATGATAGTCGTTTTTGATGCTTCAGCCGACATCAAGGAAGAAAATTGGCTTTCAGTGGCTGAAGGATACGCACGCCAGAGGGGTATAAAGGGCTGGCCAATTGGATCAGGTTGGCCAAAACCTGGGACTAAACCTGCAGAAACGGCCGAAGCCATCGAGAAAGCCGCGAGAAGTACGATAGAAACGTCAGATGAAAAGGTTTCCGCTGCCACAAAACAAAGTCAGGAGTCAAAGAGTAAGATTCTAGGGAAACATTTGGGAAGTGGAAGTACTATCCAGAGTGAGGTCAAGGATTCTACAGAATTGAGCCCAGACCCCGACACGACCGATTTAAGTTACTGTACTGTTTGGCTTGGGACTACGCAAGAGCGGACTTCCACAGAAGAGCCTCCGCCATCCAAGAGACTGTTCCATTTACCGCAGAAAGACGATCCCGAATCAGAATTCCTCCTCATGCAAGTTGACGCCGGCATTGCAGTTGTTTATTTCCCCCTTCTGAAAAACCCTGTTGAGACCGCAGTTAAACCGTCCGCTTTACCTACGCAATCCACCCCAACTCCAACCTCCACCGCTCCAGTTAGCGACCCACAAAATGAAAAAACATGTTCTGGACCGAAAGGGACTGCGGCACCGATAGACCCTGCACGAGATGATTTCATGAGCACATGGAATTTTGTTTACACCCCTGAGCAGGTCGATTGTGTCGTTGGTCTTGCTAGAGCCAATTTCGCAGAGGGTGAAGACCGGGTAAAGCGTGTCGTTAGAGGTATATACGAAAGGAAGAGGAGAGCAAGATTACAGAGGATACGGGAAGGAGAAAAGGAAGGGCTGCGTTTGTTTTCTTGATATGATCAACTGCTGTTTCCGATACTGTTGTTCACTTTTGGCGCCGGCATGAATCAGACGGATTGGAGCCGTTGGGTCTGCGTTTTGTATATTATGTATATTTCCCTTTAAGAAAAATATTAATTTAAGTCATATTGACAATTCCTTTTACGGCTGTTATGCGCATTGCTTAGAGCAACATTCTTTGGATATTTTATCGGAGAATGTCAACGACTTCTGAATTCTGCTCTCGTTGCAATTTATTTTTTATTCCGCGGGTGGTGATGACTAAGCAAATGCCCAAAAAAGTTTCTCCTTTTGCAGATCTAAAAAACACAAGTGGACGTCTCCGTGCAAGCCATTACCAGCCAGTCTTACAACTAACACATGTCTTCGAGAACCCTTATCGCAGATGGCCTATGGTATTGCCTCTGTCCGTTGTACAAACAAGTGCCATTGAGGTGGTCAAGCTTTCCATGGCGGCGGCCGAATCAGCACCACGGTGATGCGGTCTTCAAGGAACGATGCTCCGCCGCTCGATCCTTCTCTTCTACATCACAGGAGACCTTACTGTCGACAGAACAGATATCGAATTATTTTGCGGATAATGGGGCTTCCGCTGAGCGAAATAGAGGAGACCTTCTTAGAGAGATAGAGCTTGCCGTTTCCAGAAACAACCCAAAGAAACCGATATCAAAGGAAACGTTCAAACAATTCACCGAAATCCATCCATCATTCCGAAAACTACACTCTCATGAGGTCATAGAGAATATGCTTCGCAAAACGGCTGAGTGTAGCCCAAATTATAGGCTCACTATGAAACTGATGAGAGAGCTGATCCGGAGACGTGGCTGTGATCCGCAAACATGGCATTACACTGTTATGATATCGGCGAATGCGGACGCGCTGATGGGGTCTCCAAGACATGTTCGAAAGCTACTGAACGAGATGCAAGAATATAATATACCAATTGACTCCGCGACTCTTCATGCGGCGTTGAGGGTGGGTCTTCCCAATTTCAAAGTAACCCGACAGAGCATTAATTTGCCTTTGGTAGTGGCTGACGTATTTCGACAATGGCTAGGTCCTTGCGATACACCCCGATTACATCTTACGACAGAATATCCTTCACATTCTACGGGATCGATGGCTAACAATTTCGCCGGAGGGTTGGCATAATGTTGTAGCAGGACTCATTCGGGAGGGCCAGTACGAAATGGTGTTAGACCATCTCTCGCGCATGCAAGCTCAACACATTCCCATCGAGCCATGGCTATATAGTCTATTTATATACAATCTATGCAATGCAGAAGAGTACGATATGGTCCTAGAGTTGATGGTTAGCTGGACAAATAGCGGTAATGAACTCTCCCCGAACCTTTGGTTTCATGTGCTTGTTGGAGCCAGCGAGGCATTCCACGAAAAATGCGTGACCTATGTATGGAAACGGCGCGTGCAGCAAGGGCTCATCAACCCACCCTATGGCGTTTTCAACAATATCCTCATAATGACATCGCGAACTGGCAATACATGGCTAGCCCGCGAAGTGTTCCGAGTCATGCGCGAGCGAAAAGCAATTTTTCTGCTGGAAGACTACCTCTGCCTCATTGACACCTTCCTCGCCGCTGACGACCTCGAGAGTGCCCTTCGCATATTATGTCCCGCTCAAAAAGCAACCTTCAAGCTCGACGAGACCGCCACACGATCGATCGTCACCTACTGTATCGAAAAAAACATCCCGCCCCGCAACATCTGGGCGACATTAGTAAAATTGAAGGTAAAGGACTTCCAAAATGTACCCTTAGCAGCTGCAAACGCCGTGATCGAAATCGCAGTCCACCACAAGACAATGACAGTAGCGCTGGAATTCTACAAGGCGCTAACAGAGGTGTTTGGCCACCGGCCAGCCGCCACCACCTTCAACACTCTAATCCACGGCTGCCGTGTCACAAGCTCCCATAAGCTGGCCAACTTTTTCGTGCAGGAGATGGTTCACCTCGACATCTTCCCGGACCGGATGACGTACGAGCACCTGATACTGCTGTGTGTAGATGCAGGGCGGTTCCGCGAAGCACACAGATACTTTGTTGAGATGATGGAGAGCGGGTTTTCGTTGACGCCTATTTCGAAGATTCATGTTCGGACTAAGTGTTTTGATTCTGAGGATAAGTATGCTAAGATCTTGCAGTATGATGCCAATATACGGAAACCGATTGCTAGGTGTCCTGGGTCATAATAATTATATGTAGGCTCTCGGAATTGTTGGTATTTTGTTTTATTTATCGAGGATAATAGATCTCGATGCTTTTGCAGGGCATCATTTTGAGAGCGCAATTGTATGTGTATAAATAACGTAATATATGTAATCTTAGTTTTTAACGGAGCCGTGACATCATCGCTGAGATCTCGACAACTTCGTATTTCGGTCTTCAGTCGCAATTCTAGACACGCCCAACAGTTTTAACAAACTTCCCATTCGTGCAAATGCTCCGTTTGGCAATACCATATTGTTTGTTAAGTCTTCATACTCTTGTGGTAAAGATATGCCTTATCGTATAGAGAACCTTGGGTCACACTTTCTGTGACGTCTGGGGAGCTTGTATTCGGCATTCTGTTCTGATCATCACTAAAGGAGGTCATGGTATGCATCACCATCATCACCGCCATCACCAATATGATCAATACATTTTAAATTTCAATTGATGGCGCGGCGGAAATATCATCTCCATTTATCTTGGGCGACCAGTGCTATGCAATCTCTAAATAATGCTAATGGTTGTTAAATAACAGGCCTCAATTCTCCGCCAGATAATAGCAGGCCCTCGCCTGCGACATCCCGAAGCTGGTCTTGACTTGTGCTATGTCACCGATGAAAGTAAATATCCGGTTCTACAGTTCTACGACTTTCAAACCCTTGCCCTTCCGTCAAAAAGAGCTGTCTTCGCTGACAAATTTCTCCTCCCTAGTAATCGTTACCTCCGGCCCGTCCTCTACCTACCCACGTCGCGCCTACCGCAACCCCACAGACTCCCTCGTTCGCTTTCTAGACCTGAAGCATGGTGAGAACTGGTCAATATGGGAATTCCGCGCGGAGGGCTCGGGGTACCCGGATGAAGAGGTCTACGGACGTATCCACCACTTCCCATTTCCAGATCACCACCCGCCACCCTTTGCCCTTATCCCGCCTCTTATGGCGAGTATCAGAAATTGGCTATTAGAAAATGAGAGTGTTGAGGATGGCAAGGATGTTAAGGATGTTAAGCATGCTAATGCTGCCCTAGTGGAAGGGGAACGGGAGGATGCGAAAAGAAAACGAGTAGTTGTCATGCATTGCAAGGCGGGCAAAGGGCGGAGCGGGACTATTGCCTGCAGCTTTTTGATCAGTGAACGTGGGTGGGTGGCTGAGGATGCTTTGAGGCAGTTTACGGAGCGGAGGATGAGGGTTGGGTTTGGCCAGGGGGTGAGCATCCCCAGCCAGCTGCGGTGGGTGGGATATGTGCAGCAGTGGACGAATGAGTTACGGAAAGTTTATGTGGAGAGGCCGGTGGAAATTTTGGAGGTGCATATTTGGGGTTTGAGGGATGGGGTGGAGGTTGAGATTGAAGGGTTTGTGGAAGAAGGCAGAAGGATTAAGTGTTTTCATAAGTTTCATCGGTGTGAGAGGATTGTGATGGGTGAAGAGGGAGATGGGTCGACAGAGGAAGAAGGGGATGGGAAACAAAAGAGAAGAATTGACGCAAAGAGAGTGAGGACGTTGATGAAACGAGGAAAAGAGGAGGAGGGAGGTAAGGATGATGATAGCTCTAAATTAAACGACACTGAAACCCTGCCAGGCGCAAACAATCCAATAACAACCACACCGCAATCTCGCTCAACATTCTCGCAGCCCTCCCGGTCCTCTTCGTTTTTCCAACCAGTAACCACCCCGAAACCATGGAGTAAATGGATGCAAAGCATCATCACCAACTCCGCCAACGTCGACGCCATCATACCAGCCGTAATTCTCCGGCCAAGCAAAAGGGTTATTCTCCCTACCTCTGATGTGAACATCAGCATCCATCGGCGCACCATGGCCACATACACGGGGTGGACGATTGTCACATCCGTCGCACACACGTGGTTTAACGTATTCTTTGAAGGAGGGGATGTGTTTGATTCAGGCGTTTTTGAAGTTGATTGGGATGCCTTGGATGGTATTAAGGGGACGTCTAATAGGGGGATAAGGGCCCTTGATCGGTTGAAGGTTGTTTGGCGCTATGCAGAAGCACAGGGAGAATCTGAGGATGAGGGGGTAATATCAGCTGCTGGAGGGAAACTTATTCTGGAACCCGCGCCGGGTGAGCCAGTTGCTGAAGGGCATGCGGCGGACTGGCGTGGTGAGGAGCAGCAGGGAGAAGGTGGAATAGACCCCAATGCTTTGAGTGAGGAGTTGTTACAGAAGTCTTTGCCATCGCGTCCGGGTCAGGGTGGGATCAGAGAAGGGAACAATACGGTGACAGATGTCAACATGGGTGCTAGAGATGGGGCGGCTGAATTCTACAGTCTCGGGCAATATTGCGAAGCACCTTGATTGACAAGATCAAAGAGGGTGGCATATAGCCCTGAACTTGGTCTGACTTTTGATTCTGCAAAATCCAGCAGCGGAAATCTCTTTCTTTTGACTCTGCGGTATACACGTGTTAAGGGGCATCATGTCATTTGCGGCATTTCCAGGAGTCAAAGGATTAATGTATGGATGAATAAACGGGAAGCATAGCGCCAGCTTATTACTGCTCAGATATTTAATGCGCGCTGTTAGATGCTACATATAAGTAGATTGAGAAAAAGAGAAACAGCCGTATTTTGTTTATGGTACAGACAACATCACATCATCTACATTGATCAATCTGGAAACCATGTTCGTTGAAATGCGGATATGCCTTTTGAATCTCATACCATTGCTTTGACTGTTCTATCCTGCAAATCAGACAGTCTTTGTTAAATAAGTAAACGTACATACTTCATAAAAAACAAAAGAAAAAAAAGAAAAAATACAACCCACACCACACACCACATCCATCCCGTTGGGTATCAAGAGCAGATAGGTGGACAGGATACGGAGGAGTGGAAGCGATGGAATTCAGGCCCCACCTCTACCCCTCCCACGCCCTCTGCCGCCTCGTCCCCCTCCCCTTCCGCGATCCACCCTTCCGCTATCCACACGATGTTGCTGACTACCACGGCCACGATTCGACGGCTGATTCTGTTGTTGATCCTTTGCTAAATCGACGATTTCTTCGGGGACTCGGAGGTATTTAATCTGTTGCAAGATTATTATTGATACAAGGATTAAAAAGGTAAAACAAAAAAAAAAAAAAAAAAAAAAAAACATACATTATTCCCTCTGACATATACCTCAGGTAATCTGAAAAAGCGGTCACCTTCCGGGGTGGTCTGGACGACTTCTTTGAGGATCAGGTTCATCCAGTTGTCGCAATTGACGAGGTGGCCGTTGAGGGTTTCGCCATTCTTTAGTTCCACCAGCATAGGGTGGCCTTGGGCCGCGGTTAGCAGGCCTAGAGGAAGCTATAGACCAGAAAGAGGATAGGGGTTAGTATATGTGTCTCTGGTATGTATAAGTGCTTGTGTATGTGTCATGGAGCTGATTAGAGGGCGGAAAGCGGAGGTGGATGGCGAGATGCGCTGGCGGAGTTGTCTACGTACCATGATGGGGGCAATGTCTGGTGCTAGTTATGTACTACCAGACATCTGGAGAGCAGAAAATAGATATATCAACGTCTTCTTCCTCAACAGTTCACTCTAGTATTTTGATATATACTCATAAACATGGGTTGCAACCCCGTAACCTAGTTAACTTAAGTCACGTTGGGGTTGATCTGGTTGATTACCTCATCTCGCGCTGCAGGACAATAGTTAATCCAATTCCGCTAAGTCCGACCAGGTCGGGATATTAGTCATCAGCGCTGGGGGCTGAGCCTCACTCCGACGACAGAGCAGCTTTTTGGGAGATATTCAACATGTTTGAACGTATTTTCACTCCAGACGATAGTCGAGATCAGATAGTTAATCCTAGATTTTCTGATCTCTAACAATGATCGGCGGCTGAGGGCGCCGCGGTCCAAAATGGGTATGCGCGCATCTGCTGTGTTACTCTGGTCCTGTTACTCCATCGTCGCATTTGCCTGTGTCATCCCTCCCAGCAGCCGTTTCAACAATAACAATTCAGATAGTTCCCAATCTATAGAAACGTGGAGAGGTTAGACATGAAACCTCTTTCCCGTTGTTACCAACTGCCGTATCTGCATCTTAGACTAATTTTATATATAGATGATATTACAATTGAGGTGAAGTTTGCATCTGTATGTGACGGGTGTTTTTTTGATGACCATGACTTGAGCTACGTATGTTAGACAATCTCTTGCTGATTGATCAGTGTCCACGAATGTCTGTTATATGTAGATTCTGATTGATTGGGGTGCCAGATCTTTCACTTAACCATCTCCAGCACGCAATCCGTGTGCGGGGAGAGTGATGTCGTCCTCAACAATAAGAAGCTGGAGCTCGCATGGGATGGCATCGATGGAATCGGATCCGGCATCTTCCCCGCCGACATGACCAATGGCTCTCAGAATCACCAACTATCACTCAATTATCAAGCTCTTTGCATTTCTAGCCCCCAAGATTCCATAGAGGAATACACCGCACAAATACTTGCTGTGACATTCTATCCAACAAACTATACCAACCCCAACGAACGGACTTCGGGCTTTGCGGTTTCGTTCAATTCGGCCGGAAAGCCGCAAATATTCCGCCTGGTGGTTTCCCCCATCGAAATTTCGGACGGGGATACATTTGATTCCTGGCTGATTCCCTCTGACCCATTCAATGTCCCGATATCTACCTGTAACGCTGTGACTATCTTTGATGGTGATTTGGAAAAGGATCTCAAAAACATCCATATGCTCAAAGCCCAAGTCCGGAAGCTGCAAATGGAGATCAAAGCCAAGGAGCAGGAGATCAGAAAGCATTTATTCCGAGATTGTTCCCTCATGACTTCGAGACTCAAACAATGCACAAGTCTATCCTGTTTTATAAAGACATCTTTCAAGATCGTCCCGGATGTCTTCCGCCTCGTTCGATATCAATTCGGTCCCCTCCCATCCTCGATATCTGACAGCCTATGCCGTCCATTCCCCAATTCCGCTCACAGAAGCCGTACCAATCAAACCTCGAAACAAAACGCGACCACCTTTCAGCTGAAACCCAACGACCTCTCTTCAAAGGAAGCAGACCGACCTGACGACAACCACCTCTCACCCGTCTTTCCAACCCACGAAGGCGCAGAGCCTAAACTGAAGCATACCCCGATCTTCAACCACACCTCGACCACTCTTACCCCAGCAAAACTCTTCATAAAAGACCTAGCTATCCTTCTCCTCGTCTCCTCCATAATCTTCCTTTTAACAAAACACTGCCGCAACTCCCTCTTCTGCCGACGGCGGCGCGTCGACCTAGCCGCACGCCGTGAAGAACGCCGCACTCTCACCGCCTATCGCATAGCCGCACGCCGGCACCGATGGCGCCAGTGGTGGAATACCCGCTTTGGGTTGTATCCCTCCTTATCATCTGCATCTTCTCGTTCCTCGCGTGACGTCGAGCATTCGCGCCAGCAACAAAGACTCACAGGTCCTGCTCACGAAGAGGATGAAGGGGAAAATTCAATTCGTCACAATACTACCACGGCATCAAACGTGGGCGGAGGTGCTATCCAGGCTGAAATCCTCGGATTCCGCCGTGTGCTTGAGTTCGTCGGTGAGCTCGTCCGGCCAGATGGCAATAACGATTCCAACGCCAGCACCTCTCTCCGGCAGCAGGTGATAGGGACGGAGAATCAACGGGATATCTCCTTTGTTACACGGGATTCGACGACAGCTCCGTCATCGGTTGCGCCGTTGGCGACCATCGGTTCACCGCGGACGAGTAGTGTGCTAAGTTATGAGACAGGTTCCTCGGTTACGTTGGATAGTTTGGATCCTGAAACGGCAACCTGGTAAGCGGATAGTCCTTATCGGGGGTTGTTCATTGGCAATTTTCAATTCCAATTTCAAATGATTCGTTTTAACCTTTCTTCAATATGTGACCTTCTTTTTTACACAAGCGCAGTTTTGGCTCCTTCATTGTTCAATATCAATGTCAGGGCTGGCGGGGGATGCAGCATCCACCTCTAATGTTGACCACATAGTTCCCGATTCTTTTGCTATTTGTACTTTTTACTCAATTCTCTGTTTCATCTGGAGTTCCGGTTCTAGGAGGGATTTTAATACAAGAGGCCTAGGTCCCTGATAATCAAGAGATATGACCTTTCTTTTGCTTACACTATTTTATTAAGGCATAAATAAATATACCTCTATATTTACGCACCTTGATTTGGTTGCATCGTACATATCCCGAAGGGATTAGTTTTACTTTTACTTTTTATTTTATGGGTTCTTTTGGTTGAGATATGAGCAGTGGATTTTGGCTTACGACCACGTTGATTGGAATCAACATCTATATTGATATATCGCGGGAGAAGAGGAATGGAGATGGGTTCAATTCACCAGAGAACAGAGGATTTTATTGACATCTGCAGATGATTAAAGCAGTGAATGGAGGTTACAGATAGTAAGGTGGTGGGGTGTATGGAATTCCCTTTTAAACCTGTAGTTTGCTGAAGCTAAGATCAAGGGTAGATACCTTCAGGTCAGGAATAGTGAATATCTGCCAAATTCCAGTTCACGGAGTTCAAATGAAGAAGAATAGATCTGTTTACTAACCTCTCATACACGTCTATCTATCTAGGGTTCTGGACATACATTCATATATATATATATGTTCATATATTGCTCAGTATATCACCATATCAGCCTGCACATGAACATCCCTCCTCTTCACCTCCCAATTTCAAACGGCCGTCTAAAGCTCTAGGGAGTTAGATATGGAATGGGAATACCTCCGTTCCTCACATCCTCCACGAATGCCATTTGTTTCATACTATTCTATTCATGGCTGCTACTACTACCACTCGCATCAATGAAGACATCCTGCATATCAAGATCGATGGTAGTCGGAGCTGAAGTACGGGTAACAGTGGAAGTGGATGCGGCGATGGGAGTAACTATGACAGGAGATATAATTGCTGACGACGACGACGATGATTCCGGCCCGGCGAGAGCGGAACAAGAACCTTGGGGTTTCATATTATTACTACGAATATGGTCGAAGTTGTTGAAGGCCGGTTCGGTGCTGCTGCACTGGCTATCGGAGTCTGAGATGGGATCATTGAAGGCATCATCGGGTGGAGAGAAAGACCAGACCTAGGAGAATGTTAGTCCAATCGTTCGAGATTGAAAGAAGGGAAAAAACCGTCGAAAATATTTGAATAAGCGTTTAATCGCACTCACCTCCATAATAGTCCGTCCCGACCTAGTAGCCATAATGACCGCCTTCTCATCCTCAAACACAATCCGCCACACTGCCTCAGATGGCTGACTCAACTCTCTAACAAACTGGCCCGTCCTCACGTTCCAAATCTTCACCCGTCCATCACTTCCACCGCTCACGATCCGGTTGTCATCAAACTGCAAACTCGTAATGCTATTATCATGCGCTGCTAGACGGTGGATGGCTTTCATGTGCACAAGCGACCAGACCCGAACAGACCCGTCGGAGCCTCCTGTGACGAGCGTGTCACCGCGCATCTGCAGCTGGCCTACCAGAGAGGTATGGCCCTGCAAGATCGCATGGCACTGGCCCGTCTGCGGGTCCCAGATGCGAACGCTGGTGTCCAAACTGCCAGTGGCAATCCTCTTGCCGTCAAAGGCAATTGCGTAAATCTGGCTGAAGTGCCCAGATAGCGTTTTCAGACACCGGCCTTCGGAGATATTCCATATCTTCGCTGTGGCGTCGTAGCTGCCCGAAACTATCAGGTCTTCATGGATCCCCAGACAGCGTACACTTGCTTGATGACCGACGAGGACGTTCTTACAGACACCCTTGTCAAGGTCCCATATTCGTAGGGTGGTATCTCGGGATCCCGATATGGCAGTCGTCGCGTTTGACATTTTCAGACAGCGTACGGTGGACGTGTGGCCCCGTAGCTTGTGGATGCTCTCACTATGAGTAGATGACCCGTTAACAAAAGTACGTTTGGTAATTGGAAAAAAAAAAAAAAAAAAAAAAAAGAAAAAAAAAGAAAAGAAAATGCGTGAAAGGAAACTTACCCGGTAGCCATGTTCCAAACACGGACGTCACGGTCACATCCACCACTCACAAGAATATCGTCCCACAGAACCATAGCCCAAACGCCCATTACATGACCTTGCAATGTCCTCTGATGTTCACCGTTGGTATTAAATATATGAATCTTAGCATTATCAAGTGCGACAGCGATGTATTTGGAGGTCAAATGTAGGCTTGTAACGACGCCATGATCGGGAGTGATATGCCTGGTGGTGACATGTCCACCCTTTCTCCACGCTGCTTCGACCATGTATCTCTGCTTGAAATGTGATCTGTAGCTCTTGGTCTTAGCTCTTCGTTTCCGCGAATGGTTTCCCGTCGACGAGGGTGCTCTGGAGGTTGTAGGCGTAGTAGCTGTACTTGGATTACTTGCTAACGCATCATCGCTACCGCTCCATGGCGGTTGTGAAGAGCGGGTGTCGTAAGGGTTGGGGGGAAGGGCGAACGAGAATGTTTCGTGAGTCTCCTGAGTGACTTCGGACACTCCGCGATAGGCATGATTATCACACAGAAGCTTCCAGGTCATATCGTCATTCAAAAGCTCGTGCCATCGCGTTGATACCTGTGATGCTCGAGCAAGAGTTTTTGGGTCATCAATAAAGGAAAGGATCTGCAGTGTGCATAAAATATTATTAGTCTAGGCGAGTCCCGATAGGGGGAAATGGAAAACCGAGAAAGTTGAGATAAAAGTATGGAATAAAAATATCTACCCTTAAACACAGCTCATTTGGCAGCACTTTGAATGGGTCCTTTTTCAACCGCGGACTGACAAGGTGATAGACAAAGCTGAGCTGCTGATTATCACAGAGATTCAGAATTTCCGCCAGAAATCTCTGTCCCTCTGCTCGACCCAGGAGGCTGAAATGGTGCCTGGCATCTCGTAAAAATGTATCCTCGTGCTCACCAGCACTCTGCCAGCTAGGCGCTCGCTGGTGCGGAGTTGGACTCGGGGCAGGAGTCGGCGGAGAAGCGGGCGCGGATGCGTGCAGATTGTGAAGCGACGCCGGTATGGACTTGTTGGGGCTGTGGAGTGGTTTAGGATGCGAGCACACGGAGGGCATAGAGGCATTCGCCGACCTTCTGCGAGGATTCACTGGTGGCGGCAGGGCAGTAGAGATGTTATCATCACTCTCTTCCTCCGAATCCATCATTGATACTCGCTGCGAAGAGTATCGGGGAAAATACCTCGGCTCCATGATGGGAGGAAATCGCGGTAGAATAACGTATGTACTGCTGCTGGGTATAAAAGTGCAGGAAAGAAGAAGAGGAGCCCAGAAGATATGGGATGTCAAGATCCCTCATCTGTCGGGGGGTAGTGGTGAGTGGCTGGGTGAATGGAGTTTTGTCGGTTGCCAGATCACAGGCCCGGGGAGGACGAAACTCGGAGAGCGTAGCACGGCGGCTAAATTGATTAAATGACAACCAGAGGTGGAGCCGGGAGAAACAGGGCGCAGGGCAAACACAAATATACTTAGTCTAGACAAAGCTTTTTACTTTTTGACGCCCCTTGCCGGGATGTGTGTGCGCAGAAGACCTGTCGGCGTTGCAAGGAGGGCCTGAGCATCGAGGGCAGAAAGGAGTGCAAAAAGTCGAGGAAGGATTGTTTGTTGGGTGAGGTTGAGCTTCTGAGGATGTTGTGGCTGGCCAAGGATTTGCCCGAGGTTGCTGGTAAATATTTGTTCCGGCGGCCAAAGAATACGCAGTTAGCACCAGTTGACGCCTAAGGGGGGGCTGCTCGTCATCATTATGATAAATAATGGGCAGCCCTTTGTTAATTTTATATTTTCAGTGCAGAGAAGGATTTTGATTTTGCTCTGCAAGGGCAGCTCTCCAATGGTATTTATCTCCAGTTAAGAGGGTTTATTTCTGACTTCTCATGCATGTGTGCCCGCCCCTTAGATGCCAGAGACGCTTTCGAGCCGCTGTCAACCACGGGAAAACTTCTACGCCCATTACATGGCCCGGGAAGGTAGATCGTTGACTGTGCTATATCTTATCCCTTATGTCGACACCTACGGCCCTGATTTCTGGCGTAGAGCAGCCTGGCATGGTTCTCGGATTATCATGCGCCGGGTGTCGACCGAGGCTCTACATTTTTGACTTCATCCCCGAGACATACCGTGCATGTGCGGATGATGGGAGACTTCTCGCAGACAGAACTGGTCTGGCAGATGAAATAGTTGAAGAATTTTTGGAGTATTCTGCTGTTTTTTTTTTTTTTTTTTTTTTTTTTTTTTTTTTTTTTTTTTTTTCTTTTTTTCTTGTAAATATAGAAAACTATTACGTACGTGCTGCAAGAGTTTTCTCTTTCTAACTGCACGCTCACAAACGGAAATGGGGCAGAGGTAACCGGGAATTTTATACCAGCAGTATGTATCGGCAGGTGATCCAGGGAAAAAAAAAAAAAAAAAAAAAAACTGTGTCTGAAAGCTCTAAGAAATTACACCGCATGTTTAGTCTGGGTATCTACCGTAAACTTCCGCACAATCTGGGCTTCCTCAGTGACATCACCCAGCGTGCGTATTATCTGAGTAACCAGCAGGTCACCCGTGAAGAGATCCGTGGCGTCAGCAAACTTCTGGGTGAAGATGAGATTTATCAGGAGAACACGAGATGGCTCCAAGCCGGTATTTCATATTCTTCAGGCTTTTAGTCGAAGAAAATTGGAGTATAGCACCACCACCAGTGTTTTCCAGTGAAGTTTACGATGTTTCCCTTCCAAGGTGGCGACCATGCAGCAGAGGTCAAGGAGGTTTGTGCATGTCTTGAGGAAGCTAAAAGCTATGCAGCCAACCCTCCATATGAGCAAGTCATCGAGAGCTATATACAGAACTCTGCCACAGGTCGCACGGACGCATACAGAGATTCGCAGGAACTCTGGGTCAAGGATATAAAACCTGCTGTGGAAACTATCCTTGGATTCGTCGAACCGCGTCGCGATCCATATGGTGTCCGCGCGGAATTCGAAGGACTGGTTGGAGGGTTGCTGATCCACCAAATAAGATAAAAAGTCCTAACTGCGTTAAACGCGGGAGTCAACAAAATTCATCAAGAGCCTACCATGGACGCAAGGCTACAGCGGGCCTGAGAATAGAGGTATGGGTCCCTTTGAGTGAGAAAGACCTTTTCGATCCACTGAAATATACGAGCTTTCAAGGTCCGGATAATGGAAATGGGATAGACAAACGAGATTATAATATTAATGTTTACTCCATAGTCCTTGCATACCGTTCCGGCATTATCTTCCTCGGAATTAATCTGCCTAATATACGTACGTCCTCTGTACCTTTTTCTTTCTTGACGGAATATCTATATGTACGCTAGGAGTTAAGTTCCAGTGGCACAGTTCAATGACATCCGCCAAACGGATGGATTTTAAAACGTCCTGATTAGCAATCGATAGAAGCTCATCAAGAGCTCTTCCAAGGCTTCCCGCGTAGAAGAATCTGAGATCACAACTTTCAATTCACACCTCCAACACCTGATCACATCAAGGGGTTTATCCTGCCAATGGAATCACTCCACATGTATAAAAACATTCAGGCGAGGAATAACAGATGTGATCCCCTTCGACGGATATTTTCCTGTGCTGCGAAACTGAATTGCAATTCTCTATCAATATATCAAATTTTAATCCTCTTGGATTTTGGG